TGACAGGAGGCAGTTGGCAGAGGTAGTGATGATTTGACGTGGATTCCCTCTTCCCATGGTCACTTCGAAGTTCGTTCCTTATTCTTATATCTATCTAATTTTGATATCATTGATTTTCCGTGGAAGACCATTTGGCGTTCTATGGCTCCAACTAGGGTGGCATTCTTTGTATGGACCGCTGTATGGGGTAAGATCCTGGCGATTGAAATTTAAGGAAAAGGGGTAACTGTTTTGTTACTTGGTGTTGCCTATGCAAACAAGACGGTGAGTCAGTTGATCATATTCTCATGCATTGCCCCATGGCGAGCGACTGTTGGAATCTTATTTTTGGTTTGTTTGGTATGTGTTAGGTAATGCCTCATTCTTCTAAGGATTTGATTCATGCTTGCAGAGGATGTCGTGTGAGAAGTGGGTGTACGCGATTATTGGAGAATTGTCCCACATTGTGTTTGGTGGTGCATATGGAAGGAGAGGAATAGTAGAATGTTCGAAGGGAAAGAGTTGTCCAAGGCAACGCTGAAACTTCATATCATTAGCTCTCTTTTTAGTTACGTGAAGAGGAAGTCCTATTTCTCTTCCGATGATTTAATCATTTTTTTGGATTCTTTGGGGCCTTAGACCCCGGTTCCACTTTTGTATAAGGGACGCGTTCTCCTCTTGAACGCCTTTTTATTTAATTATTACTTATAAAAAAAAAAAAAAATCATTCATGAGGAATATATGGGGCCTAACCATAGGCTTTGTTATAGAGTTCGCACAAGGCATTGATCTAGACCTAGAAGGGGGAGTGAATAGGTCTTGTTTGCTTGATTAACTATAACATTTTTTATTTTTTATAAATAGAGAGTATATTTTAGAGCATTCAAATGAGGAACACATCCCGAAAGCTGTACAAAGAAAGGTCCTAGGGACCCAAGGAACCCAAAAAATCATGATTTCGTCTAAAGATGTACAATTTCTCCCCATCACCCAACTAAAATACAACTAATAATAGTAAATTTCAGCACCCCAATGGAAGATTCCTCCCCCTCAAAAATCCATGATTAACTATCACTACAACAACGCTTGTAAAAAAACACTATAACTAGCACAACAACAAGAAGTCTTTTTCCCAACGACTTGGGGCTACGTGAATCCTATGTTTCCATTCCGCTTTGTCTAAGGCGATAGCTTAATTAACTATTAACGAAAATTTCAATTTCAATGAATAAAACTGAAATTCAAAAGCTAATCAACTAGAAAGCAAGTAAATAAACCCATTCATTATGATTGAAATCATGTGAAAGCACAAATGTAAAGCAATCAGTTACTCACATGAACACACAAATTTTTATGTGGAAAACCAAGGGTAAAAACCATGGATCTAGTCCAAGCAAATGGAGTCCACTATGAGAAAGAAGTATATATTTAGTTACTGAGATTCCCAAACTCTGGAAATCCCTTAGCTTCCTCTTAAGTTAGACAATTTTTCTTTTAAGAAGTAAGATTTCATTAAAGGCACCCAAAAGGGGAGCGCTCCCCAAGAAAACAGAAGTCGTTCATGACGACACTGTAACTTTAGGCTATCCACAAAATCCAAAAGGCGATCCATCGAATTACAATTCCGCCCATTGACCCAAAAGAATAAATAAGATAGGATATTGTATTTAAGAGACCAAATAGGAGATTCCTCTCCCTCAAAGGATCTCCTATTCCCCTCGCTCCACAAACCCCACCAAATATATAGGGGAGTAGCCTTCAAGGCTCCACTATACACCCTTTCCAAGTCTCTAACATGTCTACCGTGGATTTTGGAAAACCCAAAGCAGCCAAAAACATAGACCAAACATCCCTTGCCACCAAGCAATGAAGGAATAGATGGTTCATAGATTCACCCGACTTTATACCCATGCTGCACCAATTAACCACAATCTGACGTCTCCTTCTAAGGTTGTCAAGAGTAAGGATACCTCCTAGGGCAGCAGTCCACGAGAAGAAGACCACCTTCAAGGGAGCTTTCGTCCTCCAAACAGCTTTCCAAGGGAAGGAGGGGCTAGGAAGCTCCAATAAACTGTTGTAGAAACCTCAAACGCTCCTGTAGAGGAGTCCACCCACACCATCTCATCCATGCCCATCTTGACCACCACCTGGCAATAAATCATAGCCTCGATAAGTTCCCAATCATGGAATTGTCTAGGGAATTGCACATCCCAAGTCACCCTCCCGTTTTCGAGATGATAATAGTCAGCAATCACAGCATGTCTATTCACATCAATCCTGAAGAGACGAGGAAACCTACGAGCTAAAGCCAAGTCACCTCACGGTCCTCCCAAAATCTAAGATTCCTTCCACTCTGTACCTTGAACCGAATGCTTTGGAGAACTCATCCCACCCCCTTCGGATGAGTTTCCAAGAGTCCATATCTGCTGGGGATCTCACCTCCTTAGACTGCCACCCTCCATCTCTCTCCCCGTATTGATAGGAAATGACACGCCTCCAAAGCTTGGACCTCTCATTCCCAAATCTCCAAAGCCACTTACCCACAAAGCCTTGTTGAACACGTCCAGCCTTCGGATTCCCAAACCCCTCTTGATTTAAGCAAAACTCTCCACTCAAGTCTTGTCACTGTCAGCCAACAAATCAGCGCCTCACAAAATTCGCTTTTCCTTCAACATTTCGATCTCCATAACTAGTCGTCCAAGCTTGTGTTTGTTGTGTAGGTTGCACTTCGGTGTTCTTTACTCCATTAGCGTAGAAAATTAGATTATCAACACTCACACCATTCACTCACCATGTAGATGCAATGACGACATATGAAAGAAGCAAAATTTAGCAATAGGAGCTTGATTGGATGCCCTCGATATGCTCAAAATATCTATGCCCTGGATTTGAATAAGCTTGAATGCTTTTATGAGGCTAAGGCTTTTATGTAGATTTTAGAGACTCATGAACTGTAAAGATTATTTAAAGAGAGATTGTATTTTATTTGGAAACTAAAATTTGGAAGTCTCAATCGATTGATACAAGTGTCATGGATCGACACATGGCCAATGGCATTTGATTGATGCATCAATCAGTTGAAATGCCTTGTCCTTGTGAAAGCAAGATTTCTTATGAACACTTTTGTGCATTTCAAAAGGATTTTAATGAATCAAAACATGAAATCTGAGAAACCCTAATTGAATGATTGCTAAGAGGATGAAGTCTAATGGTTGAATGCATAGTTGAGAGTTGTAATTACCTCTTGCCCTTGAATATAGTTTTAATTTCTGTTTCTGCCCTTGGACTGAGGTAACACAAACCTTGGACTGAGGTAACACAACTAAACTAACATTTGAAAATGCTAACCAAAAGCTAAAATAAAAAAATAGATTCTGAAATTTTGAAAGGAATTCGCCAACATAAGTCCTGATGACCTAAGAATTTAAATTTAAAGAGATATATACACACAGGGATTTATGCATGCATATTTAAGATCTATGAGGCTGCTCAAATGAAAATTAGTTTTTCAGTAATAAAACCATATATGAAAGTGGGCTAAAGAATTCACTTGCCTGGTGTTGCTTGGGCGTCAATAGTTTTGATTCAATCTGATTGAGGTCTGATTTCTTCTCCCTCCCTCTCACGTTTTTCTGAAACTGATATCTAATTATTCCTCGTTGGAATTATGTACGAATACTGGGTTGAGAGAACACAATACATTTGTATAAAAGGTAGAATGGAGTTTATCTTTGATCGCGTTCTTTTGGAAACCTTGAAAACGATGGGATTGGTGGTTTTATTTATTTAGTTTTGTGGGGTGTTTTTTGTGAGGGTTTTGTGGGGTATTTTTCGCTTCTCTTTTTTTTTTTTTTTGGGGGGGGGGGGGCTTTGGAAATATCAATGTTTTGCCCTCTTTGTTTTTCATTCGTTTAATGCTTTTGTCCTTGAGTTGTATTAGCTTTTCTCCTTTTAAATATGCTTCTTAAAATGATTTTCCTAAATGGATTGCACACACATCTATCACTGATATTTTCACCGTTTGGCATCTGAGTTTTGAAGCATCTCTCTTCGAGGCTTGGACTTGTGGCATATTAATAATTTTGGATCAGTTAAATGCTTCACTTTTTAGCCAAGGTTAAAAACCACGATGCTTTAGGTGTGCATTGCCAAAGCAATTGATAACTTTGTAAGCAGCTGGTACAAGTGTTCCAAGCAGCACTTGCTTTGGCAATCGTATGGCATTTTGGTAATAATGCAGCCTAAACCGGTAAACCCGAATATTTAAATGGGCTGAAAATTTTCATTCCTATAGGTGAAATACATAAACGTTTTCCTTTAGATGTCTTGGGTATCAGGCTAGTTATCAATATTCTGTTAAGCTCAGATGTATCGTGCGATAAATCTAATGCTTAATGAATGAGTTTGTGGTGTTTAAAACAAAATAAATTAGAATATTGATTAGGTGTTGGTTTTGTGGTTTGTAGGCATACCAACCGCCCTTTTCCAATGACAGGGAATTCAAGAAGTTTAACTAGAAGGAAACAGAGTTCTCTGCTGGCTAATTTTAATAGTAGGGTTAAATATATTTTGGTGGCATCTTCCTTACATTGCATATCACCTGGTGAATCTGGTGTTTTTATTTATTAATTATTATTATTATTATTATTATTATTTTGTGCTCTCTTCATATTGCTTTTGTGCTTAATTATTTATATTGAAATCTCCATGCTTTTTAATTGGGTTGTGTTTATGTTTATTGTTTTCCTTATGCAGTTACATCTTGGTTTTTCCTTATGTAAACATGTTTGTAATTATTGATATTTTGTTGCCTGATATTAGCTATTGTTTTCATGTGCTTATTTGAAGTATTCTATATTTTCTTCAATTATTTTCATTGTAAAATTTGTAGCAGGCTAGTTCATATTTTTAATTTTTGGATGCATCGTTATTTATCATTTATGAGTGGGCTGTTTTCAACCCTTATTTTTTTTATTTTTATTTATGACATTCTTAATTATATGTATATATTTTATGTCTAGACATTGGAGTGCTTGGTGCGGCTAGCATCTGTAAGACGTTCTTTGTTCACAAATGATCCTGCACGTTCTAAGTTCTTGGCCCATCTAATGACAGGAACAAAAGAAATTTTACAAAGTGGGCAAGGTATGTGGTTTTGTTGCATTTCTAGATGCTCTGTGCAATATTGATGTGCATCAAATTTTTTTAATCTTTTTTTTTTTTGCTTTTATTTTGGAAATTAATTTTATGTTATGGGAATATGTTCCCGAAGGTACGGTACTATTGAGGGGCCAATAAAAGGTCCATATATCATTTTTCTGAAGCAATTCTAGGTATCTTGATGGTAAGCTAATTGGTTTGATGGTAACTGTTTGAGGATATAAATCATTAAGTTACACTCTCTCTAACATCTTATTAAGCTTTTGGAGTAGATGGTGATTGCCATGATATAAGAGCTTTGGTTAGGAGGTCCTGGGTTCACCTCTCCATCTTTGCATTTGTTTCCCACTTTGGTTTGCACTTGCTAAGATCTTGGTTTGGTTTGTTTGTGTAGCTACATGTAAGACGGCTTGCACGTGAGAGTGTGTGTTGGAGCTCGATATGTTGGGCCCCTTTTTTTTTTTTTTTTTTTTTTTTAAACAGCTTAAGCATTTTGGGCAATTGGTAGTCCTAACAGTAGCATTACAAGTTCTAATGCTGCGTTTGGTGTGCAGGAATGGAATGGAATGCAAGTGGGAATGGAATGAGAATGGGAATGGAATAGAATGACCATTCTCATTGTGTTGTTTTGTTGTAAATATGAAATGTGTAGGAATGGAATGATAATAACCATTCTAGTGTTTGGTTGGACCAATTTAAAATTTAGAATGAAATAAATTTCAAATTGAGTTCTCCAAAATATCCCTCTTAGGAACAAATAAATTAAATCAACAAAATGACATTCTTTTATAATTTTTTTAAAAATAAATGGTGGCAGCGGCAGCGGTGGATGGTGGTGGAGGTGGAAAGTGGTAGTGCTGTAGGTGGTGGTGTTGGAAGGCGGTGGGCAATGGTGAAAGTCGGTGGCGGTGGTGGTGAAAGGCGGAGGTGGTTGTGGTGAAAGGTAATTGTTGTTTTTGGACTTGGAACACGAGGGTTTTTTTGGAAAGTTGATTTTTTTAAAAAAAATTACTTGGGAATGGAATGGCTATTTCATAGGTTTAGTTGTGGAATGGATTTTCATTCTCAGGAATGACCATTCCCACTTTAAATTGCCTACCAAACAAAGGAATGGTTGGAATGGGCATTCCATTCCATTCCATTCCTGCACACTAAACGCAACATAATTTCTTATGAAGCATGGGCCGCATGGCCATAGATATGACATGATCTATGCACATCGATTTGGCAATTTTTTTGATATGGATACAGCGAGGACACATCAATGTATGTCAGTATGTGTGTATATATTTTTATGTAGATTTGCATAGAAATTATTATATATATGTATGTATTCATGTGTGTAAATTTAAAATAATAATTATTTGTCATGTGAAATATATTATGACTAACATTCTCAAATAAAAATTATGATAAATAAGCTAAGAGTAGTGTTGCATGAATACAAACTTTGGACTAAATTAGATATGATGTGTTCATTACATCAATAATTGTTTGTTTCTTTAGGAAAGCCCAAGTATTTGGAACCTTGTTATTTTTCCTAACAATTATACTGTTGTATTATATTTGGAAAAGTTAAATTTGATGTACGATATGCGTCAAGTATGTGTCCTGGAATATTTTTTTTTGTAATATGTATATGTTTTCGAAATAAGAATTTTATTTTTTAATTATGGGTATCTTTAGGAAGTATCGGAGATTTTATCACGAGCATCTGAGGAATATAGAAAATTTGATAAGAACACAATACAGAGAAGAGCGCTTATTGTAGGAGTATATGTGCTTCATATATGACCTACATATGGAAGTATCTGTGGTAGATTTCAACTAGGAGTTTCTGTAACTGCTTCGTTTCCGTTAATTAATTAATTAATTTTCTTATTCTTAATTCTTTCCCCAGACATTTTCAACTGAAGATAGTTATTCTTTTGAGATGAACCGCAATTTGGGCCATCAAATCTGTTCCCCGAACCTTAGATGTATGTCGAAAAATTGTAAATCCATGGATAAGCTTGTAGAGTTTTTGGATTTGTTGAGGGTATAGAGTTCCTGTTTGGCCTTGTGTAGTTTGAAGGGACGCGTTCCCCTTTTGAATGCTTTTTATGCAATTATATATATATATATATATATATATATATATATATATATATAAAACTCTGTTGTGCTTATTCTTAATTATCTAATGTGACCCTAATAATCATATGTAGCACTGAAGTTTTGATAGTCATGCATAAGTAAATTGAGTAGTTATTGAAGATTAAATTCTGTAATATTCTGCTTTTACATTTACATTTACTGTTTGGCGCTACGGCTCCCTTGTGACCTGGAGGTCACTGGTTCGAAACAAGGAAACAACCTCTCCTCATGGGGAGGTAAGGCTGTGTACATCTAACCCTCCCTAGACCCTGCAATGGTGGGAGCCTTGTGAACTGGGTTTTCCCTTTTATCCATGTGATAGGTGTCGCCAACTTTAAATTGCTGATTGCTCTAATTTCTTCTGCTGGCAAGAATAGACATCTGGTTACTGAATCATTGACTGAAGTTTAACCTGCACAGTTTGCCTAACTGTAGGTTATGTAGTAAATTTTAAGATAAAGTATGAAATTTAGATGTGTGACACTGTGAGTAGGTTCCAGTGCACTGCAGCTATTGTCTGTGATCACATGGGTGAGAATGCATGGGTATCTACATTCTTGTCATACTCCCCTACCGGCATACTTTTTAGCAAATTAGTTAACAGTACATTATGTAATGTTAGAGAAGTTTGTGAGTTTTGTGTTCTCTTTTTTGTTTGAAAATTTTAATTTTTTTTTTATGCCTGGGAGTTTGCTGTTTGATGCGCCACTGATGATATTTGTTTGTGTGATGCTTGTCATTCTTTTTTTATAATCTGTTACTGTCACAAAATTTCCACGATTTTACTTTCTTTGTTCTTCAGTGTTTCCTTTCTTTCTACCTTTTCTTTAACCCCTCCCCTCTTTATTTTGTCATTTACAATCTTGTGCTTTGAACTGGGAGTCAGGTCTTGCTGATCATGATAATTACCATGAGTATTGCCGTCTTCTTGGACGCTTCAGAGTGAATTATCAGGTGATTCTTTTAAGTTTTGACCTCATATGTCTTCTCTGCCCTGCTATGGTTACAAATTGTGAGACTGTATTTGGACATATGATTTTGTGTTAATAATCAACAAGTACATACTATTATATGAACATTTATATTGGATATCAACATAATATCAAATCTAATGAATTTTTGGAATTTTCATATATACTTTGCTAGTTTGTGGTCTTCATTGCTAGAACTTCAACCTGAAAATTGGAATATCACTCCCTTCGATTTATATGGCTGGCCAAGTATCCTCTTACAAATGAGGATGTCTGAGAGTTTTTATTTTTTTGGATAAGTAAATATGTATTAGAAAGCATTCAAAAGGGGAACGCTTCCCGAAAACTACACAGCGGCCGGAGCCAAAAGGAGCCCAAAAAATCAACTATCTCCTCTACACATTTACAATTTCTCCCCATAACCCAACAAAAAAGAGAGCTAACAATGAGAAACTTTAATGCGCCAAAAGAAGATTCCTCTCCATCAATGGATCTCTTATTCCGTTCCTTCCAAATGCACCATTACACACAAAGGGGTGCCAACCCCTTCAAAAATCACGGGCGTGGGCCTCCACAAGGCATTCTCTTCAAGCATCATTTAAACCTCTCGCAGACCTAGGCATAGCCCTCTGAACTCCAAACAAGCCAAAAATTAGACTCTTAACAGTCGAAAGCCGCTGGACAGTGCAAAATGAAGGTGATCAACTGACTCCCCATCCCTTTTGCACATGTAAAGGCCCAAAAGAATTTCGTAAGTAGGGCTCACTCTTTCTGTCTCCCTCTCCCAAACCTCCAAATCAATGCCCAAAAGAAAAAGATTGTACATATAGCCTTCTTGTCTAGCCTGAGTGATGTGAGCCCAGCTAAGAAGTCACTTGGCTCATACAAAAACTCCTATAGATTGAACTGAAGAAGCTTATTGTAGATGTGTGGGGAGTTGGGATCCAGTTGTGGACAGATTCGAGAGGAGGTTGGCGGGTTGGAAAAAGCAGTACTTGTCTAAGGGGGGTCGGGTTACCCTGATTAAGAGCAATCTTTCTAGCCTTCCTACATACTTCATATCTCTGTTTCAAATTCCTTCTTCAGTGGCTAAGAGAATTGAAAGATTGCAGTGTAATTTTCTTTTTTTTGGGGGGGGGGGGGGGGGGTGGGTGGGTGTTAAGTTTCACCTGGTTCGGTGGGATCAAGTGTGTCGTCCAATTCGGTTTGGAGGCTTAGGGTTAAGGAGGTGGTTGCATTTTAATAAGGCTCTCCTTGGTAAATGGCTCTGGAGGTTTGGAATCAAGAGGCATTGGTTATGGAGGAAAGTTATTGCTAGCAAGTTTGGGGAAGGTCGTGGGGGGTGGTGCTCTCGGGCGATGCGTGGTCCAAGGGGGGTGGGAGTTTGGAACTTCATTTGAAGGGGTTGGGATGATTTCTGCAAGCATGTTCGTTTTCGCATTAAAGATGGAAGGAGGATCAGTTTTTGGAAGGATCTATGGTGTGGGGAGCTCCCTCTTGCTCTCGCTTTCCCACGGCTCTATAGGATTGCTTCTCACCGACAGGCCATGGTTGTTGACTGTTATCATCTTGATAACGGGAGACTGACTTGGGATGTTCAGTTCAGGAGGCATTTTCAGGATTGGGAGATCGAGGATGTTTCTCATTTTCTGGAGCTTTTGTATAGTCAGGTGATTTCTTTTGGGGAACCAGATGGGTGGCTATGGATTCCTAACTCGCAAGGCCGGTTTAAGGTTAGGTCCTTTTTTAGATGTCTTTCGGATGGTCAAGGTGAACTCTTCCCCTGGAAGTCTATTTGGCGTTCTAAGGCTCCCCGCAAGGTCGCCTTTTTTGCTTGGACCTCTGTCTTGGGTAAGATTTTAACCCAGGATAATTTGAGGAGGAGGAAAAAGGTGGTGGTCAATCATTATTATATGTGCCTGTGTAATGAGGAATCAGTTGATCACCTCCTTTTACATTGAAGTATGGCCAGAGACTGCTGGGATTTGATGCTTCGTTTATTTGGGGTCCATTGGGCCATGCTAGAGGGTTGATTGAAGCTTGGAGAGGCGTCTCTATTGGGGTTGGTGTTAAGGATGCTTGGAGGGCTACGCCGCTTTGTATCTGGTGGTGTATTTGGGTCGAGAGAAATATGAGATATTTTGACGGGAAAAAGAAGCCTATTTCTATGCTTAAGTTCTCTGTTATTTCTACTCTTTTTTGTTGGGTTTTAGGGAGAGATTATAGATCTATGGAGGATATCATTGTTTTCTTGGCCTCTCTGAAGGTCTAAGGCGCTTTTTGGCCCCTATCTGTTTTCTTTGGGCTTCGCTCCCCTTTTGAGCGCTTGTAATAAATTCTTACTTATCAAAAAAAAAAAAAAGAAGCTTATTGCATAAACTTCATTCAGGATTGTGTTGCTTGAATGAAGTGGGTTTGTAGAAGCTTGGGTTGGTTGAAAAATTTCAACACTAGTGCATTTTAGGTTGGGTTTCTGTTGAGGTCTTAGGTGGCCTGACATGACCTGAATCTGACCTCACACATATTTAAAATAATATATACGTATATATATTGCAAAATATAGGATTTTAATTTTTTAATTTTATTTATTATAATTTTTGTAAGAGGCTGGTTAGATTGGTTATTTGGTGGTAGGTATAGAACTAAAATGATCGTATCATTTATTTTATTTTTCCAAAATCACCAACTCTAATATCACATGATCCTTTCTATGCATGCTCAAAAGCCAAGCAGTAGTCTCTCCCTCCTCTGTCTGACGCAGTGGATCATTGAAAGCAATTAAAATAATTAACAATAGCAACGTATTCTTGAAACACTCGAATGCATGAAAAAAGGTTGAGAGAAATTCTCGATTTTCTGATATTGATAAAATTAATAACCTTTCAACATTGATAAAAGTAATAAATGATCCTAAACTGTTAGGATAGCATGTATTTATAGGCCTAAGCAAATCATAAACTATTAAGGAAAATTAAAACAATGGAAACTTTCTAAAACAGACAATGAAAACTTTCTAAAATTGACCCTAAACTATTTAGGAAAGTGAAACAATGAAAACTTCCTAAAACACACTATTAGCTTTTAGATTATTATAACAATATGAAAAAAGAAACTAGCAAACACTCTGGAACACACTGTTCACGCACTGTTCACGTGTACTACATCATGCTCCCCTTCTTTAATAGAACTCACCCTTGACTTCAACACTGATAGAGGTGCCGGCGCATAAAAGTGGTAGAAATCCCCATCCCTGGTGGCAAGTCAACAACATAGGCGTTATCATTGATGCGCTTCAAAATCGCACATAGCCCAATTTTCTTCATTTGCAATTTATTATTATATTTTTTGATAAGTAAGATTTCATAAAAGACGCGCAAGAGGGGAGCGTTCCCAGAAGAATACACAATACACCAAAGGCGACCACTATAGCTTCTATCCATAAAATCCAAAAGATGTCCCAAAGATATACAATTGGGCCCATGAACCCAAAAAAATTAAAGAAAGCAACATCTTATATTTGAGAGACCAAATAGGGGTCTCCTCACTCTCGTAGGATCTCCTATGTCCACTGGGGTTAGGCACTTTGGGCTTCCTTAGAGCAACTCCAATGGGCTTCTATTTTCAAAATATAGCATGTGGATTTAAAATGGGCTCTCCAATCCAATGGCATGCCAAATGGGCTGCCAAAATATAAGATTGCCAAATGTGGTGCCAAATATAACACAACATATAGCTATTGCCAAATCTGCTATTGCTCTCTTCCTTCTCTCTTCTCTCTCGCATGGGCTGCCAATTTGTTGTTGGGCTGCCAATTTGGTGTTGTGCTTGTGTGTATATATATATATATATATATATATCAGTTGTGCTTGTATATATTTATATATGTCAGTGTTGTGTGTATATATATGTATGTCTATTGTGTGTATATATATGTCTGTTGTGTTTGTATATATATATATATGTCAGTGTTTTTATTTATTTATTTTTAATAAGACAAATAAGCTAAATAAAATACAAACACTCAAAAAAAAAAAAAAAAAAAAAAAAAATGGTTGTTGAAAATTGTGGTTGGGAATGGTAGTTGAAACATAATGGTTGTTGTGTCAAAAAATAGCATTTTGGATGAAATGCATCATTAGAGCAGAATTGCTAAAATATAACATTTTGACACTGTAGCTCCTCTCAAAATATAGATTTGGCATGCAAAATGGCATTTTGCATTGGAGATGGTCTTACCGGTCTAGAAATAACATTAGAACCACACGAGCCCAAAGACGTGCGATGTTGGCCCAAATGATTCTTATTATTCACATTAGGCTTGAACGAAATTGGGCCATTCAACTGGACCCTGTTATTCTATGAAGCATTAGGCCCAAATCTGTTCACTAGATTATTTCTACAATAAGACCCAGCCCATGAACTCTGTACTGAAGAATCATGTGCCATCCGTGTGCTGGAGTGGGCATGCGTCGAAGGAAACGGATTCAAAATCTGCCTCCCGTTGATGACTGGACCCCATGCAGAAGATAAGGTGTCTTCTGCACACCACGTGTCCCGCGAAATCCTGTATCAGCTGGATCAGCAGCACTCACGCCCTGCGCGTGAGATCCACTTTCCCATCTTCTTCTTTTACTTCGGCGGACGTCCCTCCGCAACTTCCAACCATCCCTCCAACTGTGGTACTTCTCGATTCCTTCCCTTCCTTTCGCCACCATATTCCACCAATCCTCCTCCTTCAACAGAAAGGACCCATCCCCTCCTTCCAGACTCTCAGTTGTTGGCACAAGCTCAGGAAGAGCCTCTTCCCACACCGCCACCTTTAATAGAAGCGATCATCATAAACAAAAATTGTCGGCGGACACTCACTTCCACCACGCACTGATGCACCGTGATACGTACAAGTTCGGCTGTCCTTGTTTCATCTGCTTCCAACAAACAAAGCCGCTGCACAGATCCCAACAGTGACAAACAGAGCGTGACACCAGAGATGAAGGGGAAGACCATACAGCACAACCCTTTTCATCCCCTTCTCCTGCAACACACCCGAGCATCCCACCCTAAAACACCACTTGTCCACATGCAGCGTGGCCCTACCCGTCTCGCCGTCCCTCCCTTAGCACCTGTTTGGCTTCAGCGCCTGAAGGAAGTCGAAACAGGAAGAGGGAATCCGGCAAAGGTGTCACTCCAACTCCACAAGAGACACGCCAAGCACGCGTGGCCCATTCTGCGATTTGCCCTGTCACCCACTTCTTTGTCAAATTTACCCACCAAACACGAACTGAGCTCCTCCCTTCTTCGCTCAGTAGAAACATCATCCAAGTAAATTGAGGAACCTCTGTGGGGTTTAGCTGCCTTGACTGAACCCCCCTGATACAAACGAGGCAGATTTGCGATCTCTAGAATAGATTTCATAAGAAGATTCAGCTAGTAAAGAACAGAAAAGGACAGCAGTAAAACTCAGATTAGGTCACCGGAGCAGAAGACTCCGGTGTCCGTAGAAGAGGGAGAGAGAGAGAGTATAATTTCATTGTATACAGTTTCCTATTTAACTGCAATTTATTATAAGTTCCTACTAGAAACCTATCTTTCCGAAGGTGCACCATAACCAAATCCCCGACCTTAAACACCTTCTCACGCCGGTGCTTATCTATAGCAGCCCTGTACTTAGCATTGTTCCAACTTTTGCTTCTCATTGGCATGAACATCAATAATATGGTCTGCCATATTATTCGCAGCAGCACTCATCCCTGGCAGCTTTGGTAACGGAACAAGGTCAAGAGTATGAGATGGTACACGTCGATAAACAATCTGAAATGGGGACTTACCTTGAGACCGATTCACAATGTTATTATATGCAAACTCTGCTTGGGCCAAGTAAAAATCCCACTGCTTTGAATGATCCCCCACAAAACAACGAAGCTTGGTACCATAAATGTGCTGGGTGCATTTGACCACCTGAATGGCATCACTAGCGTCTTGTACAACCCATCCTTTGTTTTGAAGGCCGTCTTCCATTCATCTCCCGGCCAAATCCGAATCTGATGGTAGCCACTCTTTAAATCCAATTTTGTGAACATAGAAGAACTTGCCAAACTATCAAGCATATCATCTAATTGAGGAATTGGAAACCGATACTTGGCAGTAATTTTATCAATCGCCCGACTGTCCATGCACATCCGCCAACTCCCATCTTTCTTTGGTGTCAATAAGGCAAGCACCACACACAGATTCATGCTTTCCTGAATAAATCCTTTTGTAAGCAAATCATGAACTTGCTACTATAGCATGTTGTCTTGGAATCATTCTGTATGGGAAATGTTAGGTAAGCGAGAGCCCAGGACAAGATCGATAGGGTGTTGAATATTCCGTAGGGGTGGAAGTTCATTCAGTAAATCTGGAGTTAGAATTGAATTAAATTCAGCAACTAAAGGCTACAACTTAGTTGGAACATTGGTTGGTGTGATATCTTCCCCTTTTACAACTAGAGCTTAAACAATATCGACCTCCTTAGCCTCGTCCTCTAAATTCGAAACCACTATGAATGCCCGACCGTCTACGTTGGGAACCTTAGGTTGCCTATCTCTATTCATAGATACCATGGTCACCTTAACCCCATCTTTTACAAAAGTGAAAGTATTCAGTCGACCAGCATGGGTAGAATTAACATCATACTTCAAGGCCAACCCAAAAGCATATGGAATGCAATCATGTCAGTACATCGAGTATGCAAGATATTATGCCGTTGGGACTCAAGCTCCTGTTGTTGGGGGTATACAGAATACGACGCACGACCAAAGAAATTTCCTCATCTGCCTCTATAAGCACCTGTTTCGGCCTCTCATCGTCACCGGTTTGTTCTTCATTAGTTGCAAGGGCAACAACACGACGTTTCAGACAGTTATTGGAACGATGCCGAGGCTCTAGGCACTGAAAACACTTTCCTGAAAGCAGTGGAGCATAAGAGTTCATAGTTGGTGCCCTCCGATTATTGCTGCTCACAGTTTTGAGTCTTCCAAGGCTGATTACTAGTGCCACCCACTTCTTGAGTCGCTACTGAGTGTTGATTGATGGTCAGAGATGGTGGTGGGTTGTTGGAATCAGTCTGCTGTGTAGAAGTAGGACGCCCAAAATTTTGATTACGAGCATTCGGTTGATCCAACTGGGCTTCCACTCGAGTGGCCAACTCAACTGCAGCATCAAGGGTGAAAGACGCTTGCAACATCACTTTGTCCTAAATAGCCAACCGCAAACAATTATTGAGTCGCGCAACTTCTTGTGCTTTAGTCTAACAAATCGTTGCGAGATGATAATTGATAGAATTCTTCAGCATAAACACAAACCGAACGATTTCACTGGGTTTTTGGCTCTCCTTTACGGACAGGAGGTGGAGGGGTCTGGGGCAGATTCCTTGATTTGGGTGCCTTCTTCTCAGGGGATGTTTCAGGTCCGGTCATTTTTTGTGTGCCTTTCTAGTTTTCATGGTACCTCATTCCCATGGAAGACGGTGTGGAGGTCTAAGACGCCTCTTAGGGTGGCCTTTTTTGTGTGGACTGCAGCTTGGAGTAAGATTTTGACTTTGGACAATTTGAGGAAGCGAAGGCATATCATTTTTAATAGGTGTTGTCTTTGCAAGATTAAGGGGGAGTCGGTGGATCATCTTTTGTCGCACTGTCCTGTGGCTCATGATTGTTGGAGTTTGATGTTTGGCCTGTTTGGTATTCATTGGGTCATGCCTCGGTCATCTTGGGAGTTGTTAGATATGTGGAGGGGCCAATGGGTGGGGGCTCAGGCCAGAGTTTTTTGGAGGGTGACCCCTTTTTGTATTTGGTGGAGTCTTTGGAGAGAGTGTAATGGAAGATCTTTTGAGGGAAAGGAATCCTCCATTGGGGTGTTAAAATTTTCTATCATTTGTAATTTGTTTTGTTGGGGTCAGGGGAGAGACTACTCCTCTCTTGAGGATATTGTTGATTTTATGAGCTCTTTCAGTTCATAGGCTCCGTTTTGTCTTTGTATAGTTTGGGACGCGTTCCACTTTTGAACGCTTTTAATACAATTTACTTATCAAAAAAAAAAAAAAAATCTGATCATAATTAGCCGGTAAAAATCGCTTCTCCATTAGTTGTTTCATCCGAGATGATCTATTCGGATCCTTCATCTGTCGGGTTCGAGAACATTGTAACTGATTCCACCATGCAGAAGCACCACTCTTAAGACGATACGTGACCAGTTTAACTTTCTTTTCCTCCGCGATACCTATATAATCAAAAAAATTGTCAACTTTCGAAAGCCAGTCCAGAAACCCTTTGATATCAAGTTGACCGTTAAAAGACGGAAGGTCAATTTCATCTGGAAATCTCGCTGATTTGTTTTGACCCCGTGATCTCCATGTGCTAAAACGATACCTTCAATCTCTTCATCGCTTGAATCAGACCAGACCTCTTGCTGAAGCTGGCACTTAGTATTAGAACCTTGAAGATGACCACGTTGATTTCCAGCCCTTTGTTGTGGCTGATTCACATTATCAGGTTGGTCCTGATCATACCTATTATGAACCTGCACACGATTCATGGCTTCAATTTGACGTTCAACTGCTCTCTGAATCTTCTGTTTGAGTTCCCGACTCGATGGAATTCTCCCATAGTCGCCGCACGTTCTCCCTGTTCTCTGTTCATGGAGAATGGCTCTGATAACAATTTGATGCAGCGGATCAATGAAAGCAATTAAAATAATTAAGAATAGCAACGTATTCTTTAAAACTCGAATCCACGAGAAGTGGTTGAGAGAAACTTCCTAAAATTTATAGGCCTAAGCAAATCCTAAACTATTAAGGAAAATTAAAACAATGGAAACTTTCTAAAACAGACAATGAAAACTTTCTAAAACTGGCCCTAAACTATTTAGGAAAGTAAAACAATGAAAACATCCTAAAACAGACTCTTATCTATTAGATTATTAAAACAGTATGAAAAAGGAATCTAGCAAACACTCTCGAAAACACTGTTCATATACTGTTCACATTTGTTACATCACTATCCCTCTTAACTCTATCCTTTTCATCTCTCTGCATACAGAAGCTAAATTGGAGCTCTAGTCAGTAATCCTTTTCTTTTTCTTGGTTGCATCAGTTTTGACTAGTTAGCAAGCGAGTGTTCCTTTTGCTCTCTTACTCTCTTGCTTGTATATACCTCTTATCTCTTTATATGTACATATCACTATCTTAGAATCCTCTTTTTAAGATTAATTTTATATTTTCTCTTTTGTTCTTTTTTTTTTTAATTTTATCATCTCTAAGATCACCGAAGCAATGGATTATCAATCACAAGGATACTTGTACCGCCATTAAATATCAAGTTTCATTTTGACCTCACTAGTAGCAATTTGATGTTGGTAAATTCCACTTAATTTGAGCAACCTGACCGTATCCCAAACTCCACTTATTCGGGCAACCTGAGCTTATCCCAATCTTTTTAATGTTGTTCTTAACTTTTAATTTGTGGTCATATCCTATTTTTATTTAAATATTTGATGCAGCAACATGATTGTACCATGTCATATCTGTGTTATTACAGCATGGATTAGCTTTAACGCTGTTATTTCTAATTCTTCAGATTTGTTTTTCCTTTGACATGTGAATGGCAAGTCTCTTTCTTAATTGCAAAATGGATGACATAAGCACATATATTTTTTGTAACTTCTGCTTTAAGTGGTACAAATTTATTAATTTTAGTCCATGGCTATTATTTACCTTGACAATGATGAAGATAGTCAATCGTGATAATTGAATATGTGAATTTATGTTGCAGTTGTCAGAACTTGTGAACGTGGAAGGCTACAGTGATTGGATACGTTTAGTAGCAGAGTTCACGTTAAAGTCTTTGCAGTCCTGGCAGGTTGAATGCTGTTTAGAACTTCCAAGTTTTCAAAAAAGCATGTGTAACATTCTGCATAAATTGAATTTGGAGCAAATAGTTTGATTTATAGTGCCTTTTACTAACATATGTATGCATGGATATATTATATGTATATATATTACTCAATATTACCTTTTGGCTCCAATTCTAAATATGTTCGTGCTTTCTTTCCAGTGGGCCAGCAGCAGTGTTTACTACCTTTTAGGGCTGTGGTCAAGATTGGTGACTTCTGTACCGTATTTGAAGGGTGATGCTCCCAGCTTGCTTGATGAATTTGTGCCGAAGATCACTGAAGGTTTTATCACGTCAAGATTTGATTCTGTACAGGTATAATGTCATACATGGGTTCCTTTACGACTTTTATGTTGCTCTGTCTCTCTAAAGTTGAAGCTTGTATCTTTCTTGCTTTTATTTATATTTGTAGGCTGGATTCCCAGATGACCTTTCTGAGAATCCACTGGACAATGTTGAGCTTCTTCAGGATCAGCTAGATTGCTTTCCCTACCTTTGCCGATTTCAGGTTTTATGCTACACATATGGCTTGCATTGTATTACCTTGCTAGCCTAACAAATTGTTTACAATTTATAACTTTAAATTTTTTTTGTTTGCTAGTCATATATGTATTTTATTAGATCTTACTAGCTTTATAACTTTAACTTTCTTGTCTTGAGTTTCAGTATGAAAGCAGTAGCTTGTATATTATAAACATTGTGGAGCCTATTCTGCAAACATACACAGTATGTTGAAACTATATAAAGATGGTTCTTTTATTTGGTTATAATGTTCTTTAGCTTCTCGAGATGTAATTATTTTATGGAAGTCATATTATTTAATTTCTTAAATAGGAACGAGCCCGACTCCAGACCAGTGATAACAGTGAACTGTCTGTGCTTGAAGCCAAACTTTCTTGGATCGTTCATGTAATTGCTGCTATTCTTAAAATAAAACAATGTACTGGGTGTAGGTAAATGGACTTCTTCACTAAATGAAATACCTTTTCTACCATGTAATATATACTGCCAAACTTGCTTTCAACTTACAATCAGCTGGTCATTTTCTTCTCTCTCATTCAGTGCGGATTCACAAGAAGTACTTGATGCAGAACTTTCAGCTCGTGTTTTGCGGTTAATAAATGTCACCGACAGTGGACTTCATAGTCAGGTATACCGGCAAAGATGTCTGCAATTATGTTAGTTTTGGACTTTTTGAGTAGCAAACCAGATGCCTGCTAGCTGATTTTGTCATTCACAGTACAGTGTGTCTCATGTTCGAAAATACCTGCAAATTGAGAACCTTGCTGCTGCTGCTTATTTGACTCCTGTCAATAAATCTTGGTGCTGTAGGATATTAGGCCTAGATCTAGTTAGCACAAGCAGTATATAAAAGGCTTGGGTTATTTCAGGCTTAAACACTCATTCACAGTTCTAGTTTTTATGTACTAAAAGGAGCACATGTTAATATTACAAGAAAGGAAACTGAATAAAATCATTGCATAGACATATACGTAAATAAAGTCAAATCCCATGATTTGTGGCTATCATATCTCGGCTAATATGGTAAGTCAGATCCCATGATTTGTGGCTATCATATATCTGCTAACATATAATAACATTTTAAAATTGGGTTAATTATAGTTTGAAGCACTAATATGAATCAGTTAAATATAGAGAGCACAAATAAATAAATTATGCAACCACACAAGAACATGAGATTTTATGCAAATAAATTATGCAAACACCCGCTGCCAAGATGCCTGCAAAGTATGTTCATTCTCTTGTTGACGAGCCTACAAGTTATACTGAAGCATCCAAATCACCTCATTGGCGAGCTGCAATGCTTGATGAATTTAATGCCCTTCTTCGCCAACAAACTTGGTCTCTTGTTCCAGCTTCTCAAGCCCAAAATGTAGTCGGATGCAAATGGGTTTATATGGTCAAACAACATGCTGATGGTTCTATAGAACGACACAAGGCCAGACTTGTTGCAAAAGGTTACCATCAACAATTTGGGCTGGATTTTGATGAGACGTTTAGCCCGGTTGTTAAACCTCCTACTATTCGACTTGTCCTCTCTCTGGCCATAAGCCTATTCGTCAACTTGACGTTAAAAATGCCTAAAAATGCCTTCCTACAAGGTGTTCTTCATAGTTTATATGAAGCAACCACCAGGTTTTATAGACATGGATTTTTCTAATCATGTTTGTCGTCTTCACAAATCCATTTATGGGTTGAGGCAAGCACCAAGAACATGGTTTGATGGCTTTAGTGCTGCACTATATGAGCTCGGATTTGTTCATTACAGAACTTCGTGGGGATTGAAGTTTACCGTGATTCTCGTGGCATCCAAATGAGTCAAACAAAATATGCTTTCAGCCTTCTAGAGAAATCTAATTTCCTTCTAGCTAAACCATGCTTATCACCCGTTGTTGCTAGTTCCAAATTATCCTTTTTTGATGCTGGTGACCTTGTTAATGCCACATCCTATCGTAGTCTAGTTGGTGCACTGTAATACCTCACCATCACACGCCCAGATCTTACATATGTTGTGAATCAGGTCTGCCAATTCATGCATCAGCCACATGAGTCTCACTTAGTTGCCATCAAAAGGATTATTTGATACACATCAAGAACACTCCTCATTTTGGCATACATCTTTTTGAATCTCGTGATGAACATCTGTGGGGATTTTCTGACGCTGATTGGGATGGTTCTCCGGATGATCGACGTTCTATGACTGGCTTGTGCATTTACTTTGGTCCTAACCTCATCACTTGGGCCACTAAGAAGCAAACCACTGGTTCTAGATCAAGTGCTGAATCAGAATATAGGGCATTAGAGCGCACAGCAGCTGATACCTTCTTCGAGAGTTAAAAATCCCGTTACACCATCCTTCAATCCTTCACTGTGACAATATCAGTGCTACATACTTGGCCTCCAACCCAGTTCTTCATGCCCGAACAAAACATATTGAGACTGACCATCACTTCTTAAGGGAACATGTTTTACGTGGTTCTCTAAAAATCATGTTTGTTCCAAGTGCTGACCAAACTACACATTTCTTCACCAAAGCTCTATCGGTACCCCGGTTTCAACTTCTAAGAGACAAGCTGCTGGTTCGTCCTTGCTCCACCATCATCTTGAAGGGGGTGTTGAGAGATTAGCTAATGATATATTGGATCAATCAGAAAATTATCAAAGGGTAATCCAATCTTTGTAACAAACCCATAACAAACTGATAAGTTTTTTGAGAGAATCAGATCAGTTGTTGAGAGAATCTCTCCATCTCTTTCTTATTGTTGTAGCAACAAACTTGTTGACAGAATCTCTTCATCTCCCTTATTGTTGTTACTATGAATATACAATAGGACACCATCATTTCAATATGGTGAAATTTTCCCAAATTATTATCTTCTTTTCTCATCTAATCTCAGTTTTAACTTCGTTAAAAGCTGCAGTATCTCTAATTAAGCTTCTATTGTTGATTGAAATCCATTTATTACTTCATACTTATGCTTCATAGTTTTGATATTTCTGATGTGTTACAAAGTGCTTAAAGCTATACATATCATTCACGTGGCTTCTGGCAGAGATATGGTGAATTAAGCAAGCAAAGACTTGATCGGGCAATTCTCACTTTCTTTCAGCATTTTAGGAAGTCTTATGTAGGTGATCAGGCCATGCATTCTTCGAAGGTAATGAAATGTCAATTTGTTTTTGTTATAAAGTTCAGGTTTATTCTTTTACCTTGAAGCTTCCTCTTTCTATTGCAGCAGTTATATGCCCGATTGTCCGAGCTTCTTGGACTTCATGATCATCTTTTGATATTGAATGTGATTGTTGGCAAAATCGCTACAAACCTCAAGTCTTATACGGAGGTGATAATCTCTGTGCTTGGTTCTTATTATTTATCTTGTTCTAGGAGTCATGTTATATCTGAACTTTTTTTGTACATGCAGAGTGAGGAAGTTATTGATCACACCCTAAGTCTGTTCTTGGAGCTGGCATCTGGGTTAGTTCAGTTACATCTGATATTTGTGTAGATAAATGAATTATACATATTGTTTGTTTTATAGATTTATATTATCCTTAAGCAATGGTTATTTGTTGGACAATTGCATATTTCTTGCAGATATATGACTGGAAAGCTACTGCTGAAGTTGGATACAGTCAAATTCATAGTTGCACATCATACTGTAATCTCATTTCTGATATGTTTTGTTTCCATTTCTTTGTTTACCTTTTAATTTGAATGTCAAATTTATATTTTTAAGCGCTGATAGAGCACAGCCTGTGCTGTAGTGTTCAGATTGGCAATAAAGGACTGCTGATATATAAATTACTATGTCTGCATGCATTTAACATGTAGAACCCTTCTTATACACTTTTCTTGACTTATAATCATTATTGGATTCCTGATTTCAGAGGGAGCACTTCCCCTTCTTGGAAGAGTACAGATGCTCTCGCAGCAGAACGACATTCTATTACACTATTGGGTGGTTAATTTTTATGGAGGACAGCTCTGTGAAATTTAGATCTTCTATGGATGCACTTTTACAGGTACTCCCTCTCTCTCTCTCTCTCTCTCTCTCTCGCACATGGGTGTTCTTGTATGCCCGAAGACTCAATTTTTGTCCTATAACTGAATTATTCTTTTGTTTATTTATGTAGGATTCTTAGTTCTTTCAAATATATTATTTGATAGTGTTTCTCAATAAATAACTTAAATCATGTTAGAGAGTAAGAGCATGCAACCTTGGGCATGTGTGGCCATACATAAGGGAATGTTTGATGTGACAGGAACTTTTGATGTGACAGAAACTTTTTCTAACATTGTAAAATTTTTGGGACAAGAGAGATTGAAGAACACCCTTACTTATAACATGGTACAATCCTTAAAAGGAATATATATATATGTGTGTGTGTGTGTGTAAAGAACTCAAGACATGATGTTCTATTATCTTAAGTGAAAATTTACACTATTCGGTCTTCCAATTACTAGGTTGTGTATAGTGTGATTGTTGCTATTATTTATCTTTATGGAATTGGTATCTTTAGAGATCTGCACTGTGTGCTCTTTATTGTGTTTTAAGAGTTGATTTGTACTATCTTTATCAATGAAATCCTTAAAGCGGTTTTTATGGTGCTTTAGGTTTTCATCATTTTGGAATCAACACCTGATGCAATGTTTCGAACTGATACTGTAAAATATGCCTTAATTGGGTTGATGAGGGATCTTAGAGGGATTGCAATGGCCACAAATAGGTTGGTGTTTTTTAATTATCGAGTGCGTTACTTTTTAATAGAAGCTTTACTAATATTTGTAATATCATTTTTCTGATATCTTTCAGTCGAAGAACTTATGGACTTCTATTTGATTGGATATATCCAGCACACATGCCAATTCTTTTGAAAGGCATCTCGCATTGGGCTGATACCCCAGCGGTAAGACTACATAGTTTACTCCTCTAGCTATGTTCATGTTTCTCATCCTGTTCTTTATATTTGTCTACTTACAAAACCTTTTTTGAACTCATAAAAATCATATGAACAAATCCTTTCTCCCATCTTTTAAACTGAAGGACACTTGACCATGTATCATAGACCATGCCTTTTTCCTAGCCTCAGCCATTTTGTTTTGGTAATTTTCTTACATCCCTAGTCCCTTTAGCTGGAATCATTTCTTTCCTTAATGTTGCAAAAATTGTTCTTTGGGGTGGAATTCTTGCAAGTTTCTATTTTATTCCATATTTGATTACTAGTTCTTTTATTCTCATAGGCCAATGACTTTATGCACCTCAAAACGATTTTATTTCATCACCTTCAACCTTTACCATGTCTGGTCCAGTAGCATTTTAGAGGCGTAACAAGGCCAAGCAAATCCACCAGTTATGCTAGTCCTCTCTTTGTATTAATTTCTTTTGCTGCAACTGAATTACTGTAGACTGTTATCAGGATCCTAGTATAATTCATATGCTGGTTATTCCTCTTAAGTGACTTGCATAATTACTGCAAGATTGTTATAATAGTACTTGAGTGGGCACTTAAGTTATTTGCTGATTACTGCATGTCTATCATGTTGATAAATGTTGGCTATAAGCCCACTGCTTCTAGATTTGAAATTAAAATTAGGGTCTTACATCAATGCATAGAAGGGCTAGCCCAGTGCACGAGGCTCCCTCCATTGTGGGATCCGGAGATGGTCAGATGTACACAGCCTTACCTTGACATGGAGAGGCTCTTTTCAGTTTCAAACCTATGACCTCTAGGTCATAATTGAGCAACCTTACCGTTGCGCCAAGGCCCTCATGTGTGCCTGTGCATGTGCTTGAGAAATCCAACCCTTGCCACTGTTATTCATGTTTTCCCGTCATTCCTTCTTGCAACCTCGTCACATAACACATCTTAACAACCATTGAGACAGTGTAATTGCGACCACTTGCTGCCGTGATTCTTACCCCTCACCCCCGGCCCCGCCGCTGCCAGCAAAGATTCCATGAGATAATGCGAAACTTAATGGGCACACCATAGAATTCCCCTCCCCTCTCGTCCTCCCTCTTCCCATCATAGTTCACGTACTAAATGAGATTCCACACTTCTCTCTTCCTCTTTCTAACCACCTTCCAACTCTCATCATTGGAATGGAGGCATCTCCAAAGCCCCATCATAATTCCCTTCGTAGTTCACCCCTAAAAGATTACCCACTTCCCCAATGTTCTTCCTCACCTACCCCTCCCCATTCTCCCCTTCCTATACCATGAGAAATTCACCCCTCCATCTCAGGAGCCAACTCAGACAAAGGAACCACCAGACCCTCATCTATGGAGTCACACCCCTCCCAAGGCACAATATCCATAGTACAATCAAAGGGGTCTCTTGGCAGCCAATCGTCCACTTCTATAACAGAATTTGATGACCTGCTGCAAGCTGATGGGGTACAATACATCTTCTCTGAATCATCTGTGTCTTCTTGCGTCCCATGATCCATGTTATGATGCTGCCCCTTCAAAGCTTTGTGAAGACGCAGTTCACTTATCAACACCGCAGTCAACTTATCGCTAGGCCGGAATTGAATATCAGGTCCATGCACACTATAACCTCTTCAACCTTAGGCATAGTAGTGCACTGCAGAACCCCAACAACCCAGGGTTGTCAACCTTTTGCACACCCTCCTGTGAACAGTTCTCCGGCACCTCCTTTGTCACTGGCACTGGCCAACCTTCATCCCCGATCGATCAATGTCATTTTCCTCCCCTAAAACTCCCCTCAGAATCGCACAAGAAGAAGAATAAAGGGGATTAACAAAGTTCGTTATCTGTATATTCGAGGGGTAATCGGACTTCTCGAAGGCACTGGAACACCCATCGTGGGCCACCCACTTCTGCATCTTAGTTCTAGATCATCTCCTTCTATTGGGCTAAATATGGGATGATTGGGTATTTCCCAATCTGTTGGTTTCAACTTTATTTTGCTTCTTCTCCCTGTAGAACGAGCTATTTGGGTATTTCTTAAGCCACAGCTTCCTGGACTATAATCCAACCCACGCGTATTTCGGCCAGAATAAGAACTATTTGAGAAGCAATTGTGATGGGCTCCTCATGATTTGGGCCAACTTGAGGAGCCCCAAACCTGTTCTGAATCAGTGAACCTTGTGGACCATTTCCTCGATGCCCCATATCCTTAGACTTTAAGCGTTGTCCCACTGGATTACTTCTCGGCCCAGCACAGGATAAGCCCGTTCTGGATTTAGAGTTAGTTGTCACCCTCCCCCCACGTGAGTGACTATTTTGAAATTTAAAGTGGGTGCTAGCTTTGTCCCAGTTGTAACTACCATTCCCCCTGCTAGCACCACGTGAGGAGCACTTTGTCTTCTTCCATCCCCTGCCTGAACCTCAACCCGCAGCTTTTGCACTGGTTTCAGCCTATCTGTCTCCTTTCTCCCTCTTCCTCCCCTTCTCTGCATTCATAACCACTTGTCCTTGATTAGGGTATTTTCATCTCTGCTGTGAAGAGTTGCTGTCGGAGGGACAAGCCCTGACATTCTTTCTTCCGATAAGAAGACCCTGTAACACAAACTCTCGTCATTTTTTTTTTTTTGATAAGTATCGATTCTGGAATCACACCCCCTTCCTTCATTGTAGTAACAATTTTGTTTGCATCAATTCTGTCGTCTGCGTTAACCCTTGCAAAACCTCTGCAAGCATCTCCAATGGCCACCAACAAATCAGTACACCACAGATGAAGCGGTAAGGTGTACAACCGCATCCTCATCTCCTTCTTCTTCTTGAAAATCCTGGAGCACCCAACTCTGAAGGACCACATCCAATCGCAATTCGGCATCGCCCCATGTTCTTTTTCCATTCAACAGAACCCTAACAGCTTCAACATGAGAAGGGGGACAGAAAAGCAAGACATTATCTGGCAGAGGGGAAACCGAGACACCCAACGGTATCTTCCACACCCTAGAAACCCACTCTTCAATCTTCGCAAAATATCCAACATCCTGATGATGTTGTTGTTACTATATCTGGTAGTTAACTTGGGTCTTGAGTATACATCCAACTTCAGAATTCCTGGTTGGGATGTGGTTGTGTATGTCATCCAAAAATACACACACACACACACACACACACACACACATATATATATATTGTAATTTTGGATGCTTCAAACCCCTTCTTTGAGGATATAGTTTGATTCAACAATTCTTTTGTTGAATTATTGTTCATTGTGGCTAAATTGTTTTCCCCACCTCCTTTTGGTTGCAAAAGCACATCTTTTCTTCTCTCATTCTCTTCAAACTTTACCACAAAAGTGCTTCAATTTAAATCTATTTTGAAAAAAATGGGAGTAGACTGGATGGAACTAATTTCAACTGCCCAAATGAAACTCAATTTACTACTTCCTCACAGTTCATATCTAGTCTCTCTCTCTCTTTTTTTTAGTAACTTGGCCGAACTTCTTTGATTATTGTGGTACTGTACAGAATCAACAATTCAGGAAAAAATGAATTTTCTTCTTCTTCTGTTTCATCTTTTTGTTTCAGTCTATCATAGTAATTGAACACGTCTTTGTTTTTCGTGTAATTCTATCTACTATCTTTCTTTCTCTAATTTGTTCTCTCTTTAAAGGGACTTCACTGTATTACAAAATTGTGCAGGTTACAACCCCGTTATTAAAATTCATGGCTGAGTTTGTGCAAAACAAAGCACAACGGTTGACTTTTGACTCATCTTCTCCTAATGGCATTCTTCTTTTCCGAGAAGTTAGCAAATTACTCGTTGCTTATGGGTCAAGGATTTTATCTTTCCCAAATGCTTCGGATATTTATGCCTTCAAATACAAGGGTATATGGATTTCTTTAACTATCCTATCAAGAGGTAAGAATCTCATCAGCCTTTTACTTGGAATAGTCAGTGGAAGGTGTTTTACTCTGTTTGTGAAACTCAGTTTAATGAATTTTAATTAGGTGTATTAGTTATTTGGTTCAGTTGACAACAACTTTACTAGTAAATTAGTAATGTGGCCATTTTATTTGGTAGTGATGTCTATTTTTCCGTCATTCTGTCATAGCATGGTTGTTCTTGTGATTTTCCAATTTAATCAGTTTGGTGAAACTGAATTGCATATTTTCTAATTAGATGAGCTGTCTTGGAAAATCTATTGCATTTCAGAATGACTAGGTGATTTATTTTAGAGGTTCTGATACTTTGCTTGAAGAATGATTTATATATATTTTTCTTACTGTAATACTTGCTAAAAATGTTTGCAGAAAAGCGATGAACTATTTTTAGGATTGTTTTCAATAGTTGACGAATTATAGCTGTATCTTTTGATGCTTTGGTTGCATTTGAGCTTTGTGATTATATAGTTACTGGAATTTATTTGATCACTTAAAAGTCCTAAGCATATAACCTATGGTGCTGCCTGTTTTCCTCAACATAGTTATTTGCTAAGAGTTATTGACACTTTAAGAATGACTCAAGTTGGACAAGTGTTGGATACTGACACTTCTTGAACGCGCGTCTACACATATTGGATGTGTCCATAGTTCAAATACAAAATTTTAATTTTTGGACACGTGGTTAACATTTTTTGGACTTGTGTAACATGTGACCAATGAAATGTTCACTGGATAAAAGTTTCTTTTAGGATGGAAGAAGGTATAATTTTAAGAAAAATAGATTTAACAGCTTATTTACAATTTATGTAATGTGACCATATTTTAAATAAAAGATATAAGAGAGTTTTATTGAAAGTGTAGGCATATAATCTATGGTGCTGCCTGTTTTCCTCAACATAGTTATTTGCTAAGAGTTTATGAACACTTTAAGAAAGACTCAAGTTGGACATGTGTTGGATACTGACACTTCTTGAACACGTGTCCCACACATGTTGGATGTGTCCATAGTTCAAAAACAAATTTTTTATTTTTGGACATGTGGTTAACACTTTTGGACTTGTGTAACATGTGACCAATGAAATGTTCACTGGATAAAAGTTTCTTTTAGGATGTAAGAAATTACAATTTTAAGAAAAATAGATTTAACAGCTTATTTACAATTTATGTAATGTGACCATATTTTAAATAAAAGATATAAGAGAGTTTTTTTGAAAGGGTTGGCATGAGTATGAGAGAACTTATCAAGTTGTGTGTGTCATATATGTATATGTACCTCATACAACAGAGAGGATGGAGTTTTACTCTTATAGAGGGTGGAAACACCCTTATCAAAAGTCCAGTACCATGCTGCTCTACATATCAGCTTTAGAGACATTGGGTGTCTCAAATCATTTTCTTTCCTCACTCTTTGTTGGTTTGTTTGGTAGAAATATATTAGTCAAAAGTAATTGCATATGTCAGTAAAGGAAGCCGGCACATGCATTTTAAATCTTAGATACCCATCATATCCTTGTTGTATATTTCTTTATGCAATAGGGTCATTATATAAGTGAATTACAAATTTTATATTGACATCATTGAATATTAAATCTACTTAAGTGAATAACGTTTATATTATATGATATAATTTATATATATATATATATACTCGGAAATACATGTCATTGCCTGATTTTAGTGGGATTTACTATCAAATGGCAGCTCTTGCTGGAAACTATGTAAACTTTGGTGTGTTTGAGCTGTATGGTGATAGAGCGCTTGCTGATGCACTTGACATTACTCTAAAGATGACACTATCAATTCCGCTGGCTGATATATTGGCTTACCGAAAGGTGTGCGGGACTTTCTGCTGCACACATTTTAACATAATTGTTTATTTTAGTTACCTTCTGAATTTGTTTTGCAGAAACTTTTGCAGCTTATAAATTTTTTCTCCTTTATTCTTTTCCTTTTAATTATTTATTTATTATTTCTTTGGTCAGGAATATATGTCAATAACTGGTTCCATACTTGTAATTTAAATGCAATGTCCTTGATTGTTCTAGTATCAGTTATGCACCGGTCTTATTTTCTTTTCATATTTAAGTAATATACATTGAGTTATGATACTTTACATCACACACACACACACACAAATATATATATATTTCTATGATGTTGTGGCCCGAATTTGGTGCTGGGTCATTTTGACGACCCGTTAGGATGAGCTTTGTGTGGGCCCAAGCCCACCAAAAAATTGACCTGTTTTTTGCTCATTGGTCGTGGACCCTAATTAGGGTTTGGAGTGAGTTGTGAGAGGGGGATTGAAATTTGTACAGAATAGAGAGGGGCTAAAACTTGTAATCTCTGAATTTACACATGGTGAAGACTTTCGCCAGATCTCCACCATGGACGTAGGCTTTGCCCAACCACGTATAAATCTTTGTGTGGTGTGTTTATTTTTTCTGTCGTGTTATTGTAATTGGTGCTTGGTTCGCTGCGTTTGTGAATAAACTAGTATCAGAGCTTTCGGTTTGAAGTAGGGATGGCGTCCAAATTTCTGGAAATCGAGAAGTTTAATAGCAGAAACGATTTCAACCTGTGGCGGGTTAGGCTCTGTTGGTTCAACAAGGGTTATCTAAGGTGCTAAAGGGGAAGGATGCACTGCCAGAAAAGATGTAGGACAAAGATGAGATTATGGAGAAAACAATACAATTTTGTTGTGCTTAACGAGGTTCTGCGAGAAGTTGCTGCAGAGACTACATCGGATGGCTGTGGAATAAGTCAGAGTCCCGGTATATGACGAAATCTCTTGTGAATTGCTTGTATCTAAAGAAGCGGTTCACTCTCCAGATGAGCGAAGGTTCCTCTCTGAAAGACCATTTGGACGAGGTAAACTGTATCATCATGGACTTGAATAATATTGATGTCAAGATAGAGGATGAAGATCATGCTATTATTCAGTTGTGTTCTCTACCACCCTCGTATGAGAACTTTGTCGATACGATGATGTATGGCAGAACTGCTTTGTTCATGGAAGATGTGAAGGCAACTCTGAATTCCAAAGAGTTGCAGAAAATGGCGTTTGAGGGCAATATAGAAGTTCAGCAGAAGGGCTGGTGGTTAGAGGAAGAACGAATCAGAAGGAAGGGTCTGGTAGCAGAAATCGTTTTAAGTCTTAAGAATAGAATAAAGGTGTTGAGATGCTACATCTGTCGCAAGGAAGGGCACTTCAGGAAAGACTGTCCGCAGCGTAAGAAGGGAAAGGGTAAATCCTCTGAAGTTGATAGTTTGTGATGTAGAACAACTTGCTCATGAGTATATGAGCATATAGGATCACTGTAAATCAGGGAGGCTGAAAAGGTAAGGACACTAGAAGGAAAAAAAAAAGAAGGAAAAGTCAATAATAGAAAAAGGAAAAGTTGAAACTAAATAGGAAGATTGGTGGTGGAGTTCACAATAGGCAACAACATGATTTGTGTAGTTGCCAACAATAGAAAGCTTGATTGAAGAATTATTCTCCATTGCAAGATTTAAGAAGGATTCTGCTTCATCAAATCTTTGAGCAGATATGTGATTGATTTTCCCTTTAGTATTATTTCACGGAAGCTTTAAATTTTTATTTTTTATTTTTATATTTGACTTGCCTATATAAAGGCAAGAGATGTAAGTTTGCAAGCAGACATTTTATCAATATAATTTCACGTTTTCTCTCTTGTGAGCGCGTTCTTGTGAATTCAAGGGTTCTAACTCTGTTCCTTATCTTTTCCGCTACGCTAGTTTGACTATTGCTGAGGGTAATGATTCAGATGGTGGTAACATTCTCCCGATTTCAGTCGGCAGCTCTTGAGATGAATGGATTCTTGATTCGGGTTGCTCGTTTCATGCTTGTCCAAACAAGGACTGGTTTACGTCTTATCAATCTATTGATGGAGGCGAAGTTCTGAAGGGGGAATGATGCGGCGTGCAAAGTTTTAGGTATTGGTACAGTTCGAATCAAGATATATGACGACATAGTGAGGACATTGACTAATGTCAGGCATGTACCAGAATTGAGAAAGAATTTGATTTCCCTGGGTACGCTGGATTCCATCGGGTTCACTTACAAAGCTGGAGGTGGAGTCATTCGGGTTTAAAGGGTGCTCTTGTGGTGATGATGGGACTGAAGAAGCATGGTTTATATGCTTTGCAGGGTAGCACATTCATAGGTTCAATTGCTGTATCGTCCTTGGATCTGTATTCAAATACTACCAGATTGTGGCATATAAGTGAGGGGGATGGATGTTCTGAGTAGGCAGGGTTTGCTTGGTGGTCAGAAAACTGGGAAGCTGAATTTCTGTGAGCATTGTGTCTTTAAGAAGTAGTGTAGAGTGAAATTCAGTACAGGAATTCACAGGACCAAGGGTACGGTGGATTATATTCATTTTGATCTTTGGGGTCCCTCTCAGGTTACTTCACATGGTGGTGGTGGATATAAGATGACGCTGATTGATGACTTTTCTCGGAAAGTTTGGATTTTCATTCTGAAGCATAAAAATAAGTCCTTTGTTACATTCAAGGAGTGGAAGACCTTGAATGAGAAGCAGACTGGAAAACAGGTCAAACGCTTGAGGCTAGACAATGGCTTGGAATTTTGTGATGGAGAATTTAATGAATTCTACAAGACTCACGGGATCGTGAGGCACCACACAACAAAGAAGACTTCACAATAGAATGGAGTTGCCTAACGGATGAACATAACGCTATTGGAGAGGGCACGGTGTAAGTTGTCCAATGCAGGGTTAGACAAAAGGTTCTGAGCTGAAGTTATTTCTACAATTATTTACTTGGTGAACACCCCATCGACTGCTATTGACTGTCTCTTGCTAGTATTATTGAGAATATTTGGGTGTCCAACGTATGCTCATGTGAATGAGGGGAAGCTTGAATTAGGGCTAAGAAACACATTTTTCTTGGTTATTAGCTCGGGGTCAAAGGATACAGATTATGGTGCCCAGAGGCTTAGGCTTCGTGAAAGAAGATACTTGTTAGTAGGGACGTGACCTTTCATGAGTTTGCTATGCTTACCCTGCAGAAGGAGGTAGTTGATTTAGGGAGAGCTCAGGGTGTCGGTGAGCAGGTAGAGTATGCAGAGGTTTAGTTAGATGATAGTCCTGATTTGTCGACTAATAAGTAGGTACAATTTCGAGCTGAGGGAGATGTACAGTTGCAGTAGTATAGTGTGACTAGAGACAAAACTAGGAGGGATATTAGGCCACCTGAGAAGTATGGGTTTTCACATGCTGATTCGGTTGCTTATGCACTTAGTGTGGCAGAGGATATTGATGAGCAGATACCATGTACTTTTCATGAGGCCATCATACGTGGAGAGTCAGCACAGTGGTCTGTTGCCATGAGTGAGGAGATTGACTCTCTTCATAAGAACCAGATTTGGGAGCTAGTTAAGAAACCTAAGTGCTAGAAGATTGTGGGCTGTAAATGGATCTTCAAGAAGAAAGAAGGAACTCTAGGGGTGGAATGCTTCGGTATGCAAGCGTCAAAGCCAGTGAGTACTCCATTGGCTGCCTACTTTAGACTTTCATCATGATTGTCACCACATACTGAGGAGGAGGTGGAGCACGTCTCGTGTTCCTTATGCTAGTGTAGTTGGTAGCCTCATGTATGAAATGGTGTGTACTAGGCCAGACATTTCACATGCAGTTAGTGTAGTGAGCAGATACATCTGGGAAGGTCCATCGACAGGCTGTGAAGTGGATATTACGGCACTTGCGAGGCACTGCAAATGTTTGCTTAGTTTATGGCGGAGGCAACAGCACGTATGGTAGTGTTGCTGGATATGTTGATTCGGATTATACTAGAGATCTTGATAGGAGGAGATCCTTGACAGGGTATGTCTTCACTCTTTGTGGGAGTGTGATCGGTTGGAAGGCGACTTTGCAGTTTGTAGTTGCATTGTCTACTACTGAAGCTGAGTACATGGCAGCTACAGAGGCAGTGAAGGAAGTTATATGGTTGAAAGGCTTGGTTGGTGATTTGGGCTTGCAACAAGATGATTTGACTGTGTTTTGCGACAACCAGAGTGCCATACATCTGATTAAAAATTAGATGTTTCATGAGAGGACCAAGCACATTGATGTCAGATTTCACTTCATCAGAAATGTGGTTGTACATGGTGCTATTGTAGTGAGGAAGATTGGGACAACAAAGAATCTGACAGATATGATGACTAAGGTCATTCCTACTCTCAAGTTTAGACAATGTCTATACTTGATTGGTACTTGCAGTTGCTGAGGCCCTTGGGGGCATGTGGAGGAGGCGAAATGAGTAGATGGAGATTGTGGAGCTTGGCGTAATTTGAGCCAAGGTGGAGATTTGTGATGATGTGGCCCGAATTTGGTGTCGGGTTGCGCTGCGACCCGCTTTCGACCTGACGACTTGTTGGATGAGCTTTGTGTGGGCCCATACCCACCAAAAATTTTTGACCCGGTTTTTTTGATAATAGGTCGTGGACCCTAAGTACTCTCTTTTAGCCCGATATATAAGGGCGTTTAGGGTTTGGATTGAGTCGTGAGAGACACATTGAAATTCCTACATAATAGAGAGTGTGGGGCTAAAACCTATGTTACTCGGACTCGGGTACGGGTGTCGGACATGGGTGTGTGTCTAGGGGTCAGATTGGTCAATCTATCAATTTTCTGGATACGTGGACTCGGATTAAAAGTGTCCAAATATTGGACACGGGTACTTGGACACTTTGGAAAGAGAGAAAAATCTGTAAGATAATTTTTTTTTATGTTTGAGACATTAATTATAAAACTAAAAAATATATATCAATTGTACTTTTTATAGGAATTTTATAATTATTACTGCATTTGTTTACCTCATTTGATTGGTGGCATGTCATTGCTATGCATTCCCCTGTTACTACCGGACGTGCAACTGTTTGATGGAACCTGTAATCAGAAATTCTGAGCTCTAGGGCTTCTTTTGTAGACCCAAGGGCGGGTTTGGGCTTGGGCTTGGCTAATATGCCTTTGTATGTGCATCTTGGCCTTTGGGCCTGTACAAGTCAAAGCACAATTAAAAAGAAGACCAATTCAATATGGGCTAATATGTCTCTGTATGTGCGTCTTAGTCATGGAATGATGCTTGGGCTTTGGGCCTCTACAAGTCAAAGCACAATTAAAAAGGAAGCCGATTCAATATACACGGTATTTGTTACAGTACTAGCAAAGTTCTAGCTGTAACCACACCACATCTGTAGCTAATGGTTTACAGCTCTGTCCCGATCGTCTCATATCTTTTCAGATCCAAATAAACAGGCGTTATCATTATGACCGTTAAAAGGCTGGGTTTTAAGTTATTAACAACTGCGTGAAACCACGCTCGGGAAGGCACAAAAAATTGCGCAAAGCCAGTGTGTGCGGGCTCACAAACAGCAAGTTGTCTTCAACCTTCAAACCACCGATCCGAACCAGTTTGCCATTGTTGAAACAAGAAGCTTCGTACGGCTGCAGATTTAACAAAAAAACATGAAAAAAATTCCTAATCCTTCACAAGCATCAAACTACACATCATTTTATGTATTTTCATCATTAGCCATGCCCGATTGAAGAATGGAGGGTCGGATGCATATCCCGTGTCCATGTCGTGTCGTGTCGTGTCGTGTCGTGTCGACACGGACGCTCTGTCCTTTGCTGGCGAGTCTAGGTAACATAGGTTAAAAACTTGTAATCTCTGATTTTACACATAATGAAGACTTTCGCCAGATCTCCACCGTGGACATAGGTTTTGCCGAACCTTGTTTAAATCTTTGTGTGGTGTGTTTATTTTTCTGTCGTGTTATCATAATTGTTGCTTGGTTTGCTGCGTTTGTCCTAACAATTTCCCTATGCACGCACACCAATTTATATACAATGAGATCTGTTGTATTTCAAGACAGCTTGCTCTTGGTATATAAGTCTGATTACTCTGAACTGTATCTTCTCTGAGATTCTGTATTATGATAGCTCTCATGAATAAGGTTAGTGGGAGGGACTCAAACAAATAATGAATCTACAAATATCACCATCCATCTTAAATTAAGTTGCTCCAATGTTTACCCATAATTGCGTCCTCCTAAAGTAAAATTTCAGAAGGAACAAGAGAGCATAAAATACTTTTTGATTTTGAAAGAGAACTTTGAATCATTTGATGGAGGCTGAAAAAATAGGACTAAACATAAACAAATTCCTTTAGGATTTTGAATCCACGACATCTTGTCATTTCCCCAACACAAAAATTAGAAGTTGAGCTCTGGCCATTGGTATACCCATGATTATAATCCTTTAGGTTTATCATTAGATCAATTGCAAGGTATAACCTATGATTGTCGGGAAAATAATTTTTTTCCATCTGTGTTGACTGCAATCAAGAAATATTTGATGGACGAGTTTTCCTTGTTAATTTCATGACATACGGAGATGGGGATGGATCTACTCAGATGGGAGGTGGCACCCCAAAATTTTAAAATTCCATTTTATTTACAATATTCATTCAAAAGCCTCATTTAAGATTATGCCCTCAATCCCCAATCACCAGTTTTAAAGTTCTTTTTGGAGCACATTTGTGCACTGCATGTATTTGATATGATTTTATTTAGGTTCGATTGAGAAAAAAATAAGGATGGTTTGGTGATTTTCTTTTAGCTTTGTTGAATCAAATTCTGCAGATTAAGCATTTCAGAGCACTATATGCTAGAGTTCTACTCCCTTTTATTTTCTTTAATGTTTTGTTCTCTGATTTAATATCATGACAGCAATTGTACATGATTCATTGTTTCTTTTGCAGCTGACACGGGCCTACTTTGCATTTTTGGAGGTTCTGTTCAACAGCCATATTTTTTTCATATTGAATCTGGATACCAACACTTTTATGCATATTGTCGGGTCTCTTGAATCTGGTCTTAAAGGTCTGGATACAAATATCTCGTCACAGGTATGCTTCATTCTGACAGTAGACGTTTTTGTTGCATAATGTTTTTTGTTCCTGTTTGTTGGCATTCTAAACTGTTGAGTTTGATTGGCAGTGGACTGCACACCCACTCTTTCTTTTGCTATAATAGTCATATTCAAATAAAAATTTGGTAAATTACTCTGACCTCCCTTAAGGTTTGAGAAAATCACCATCAAATGAAACTTTTTTAAAAAAATTGGTCAACCTCCATTGAGAGTTGCATGAAATTACTCTGACCACCCCTGCCATTAGTTGGTGGTTAATTGACTTTTAGTCCTGTTAAAAAAATAATCTCAAATTCCAAAACTGCCCTTTTGTGCCGTAAAATGAAAAAAAATAGCCTTATTAACCGAATCAAGTGACCATTTAAATCATATTTTTTAAGACAAAAATACCCTTATCACTTTAGTGCTTTGATTGCTTACAAATAGTTAATAGTTATTGTAATTAACTTTTTTTATTTATAATTCTAAATGCATCTACTGGAAATAAAATATGTATACATATTTTTATCAAACTACATATTTATTACATAATAAATTTTATTATATCAATATATAATTTTTTTTCCCTGAACGGGGTTTCAAAAGTACAAGGAAAATTAATACACAACTGCAGGGGCAGATCCAGGAATTTTAATTTTAGGGGGGTGGGGGGTGGGGCAAAATAGTAATTTAAAATTAACTTCTAAAAATAAAATAAAATACTTGTAAGTTGTAACAAATTTTTTTTCAATACATTTTTTATGTTTGTTTTCAACATCGTATCTATTTTTTTTCCCCTTCTTGCATGACTATAAATGATATGAGAAGAAAAATAGAGAAAAAAAAAAATCAGCCAATAATTGAGGTTATCAAATGTCAAACAATCTTTTCTTCTCTCTTGAATACATAATAAATAATTTATATAAGTGTGTGCATGGAACGATGAATAGAGTATTAATATGTTGTAGCAATAACTACAATAACAATCTAGGAAGCATGGACACGCCTAAAAGGGCAAAGAATCCGTGTCAGACACCGACACATGCCGGATACGTGTTGGACATGCCAAAATATGTGTACAAATATTTTATAATTTTTCGAATATCCAAACACACTGTGGACGTGCTTTCGACATGCCATGGATATGTGTCCGACACGCTTGTCCCACTCTAGGGAATTTTTTTTTTTTTTTGATAAGTAAGATTTTATTAAAAACGCTCAAAAAGGGGAGTGAAAGCCAAAGAAACAAAAGGAACACAAGGGCCAGAGGGCGCCTTAGACCTTTAGAGAGGCTAAAAAAATAATAATTTCCTCCATAGATCTATAATCTCTCCTGAAACCCAACAAAAAAGAGTAGAAATAATAGAGAACTAAAGCATAGAAACAGGCTTCTTTTTCCCGTCAAAATATCCCTATTTCTCTCAAGCCAAATACACCACCAGATACAAAGCGGCGTAGCCCTCCAAGCATCCCTAATGCCAGCCCCAACAGAGACGCCTCTCCAAGCCTCAATCAACCCTCTAGAGGAGAAAGGCATTGCCCAATGAACCCCAAATAAACGAAGCATCAAATCCCAACAATCTCTGGCCATGCTGCAATGTAAAAGGAGGTGATCAACAGACTCTTCATGACACAAACACATGTAACAGTGATTGACCACTACCTGATTCCTCCTCCTCAGATTATCCTGGGTTAAAATCTTACCCAGAACAAAGGTCCAAGCAAAAAAGGCGACCTTGCGGGGAGCCTTGGACTGCCAAATAGACTTCCAAGGGAAGGGATCTCCATGACCAAACGAAAGGCATTTGAAAAAGGACCTAACCTCAAAACGGCCATGCGTGGTAGGAACCCAGAACCACCGATCCGGTCCCCCAAAAGAAAACACCTGGCTATACAACAACTCCAGAAAACGAGAAACATCCTCGATCACCCAATCCTGAAAATGCCTCCTGAAACGAACATCCCAAGACAGTCTCCCGTTATCATGATGATAACAGTCAACAACCATGGCCTGTCGATGAGAAGCAATCCTGTAGAGCCGTGGGAACGCAAGAGCAAGAGGGAGATCCCCACACCAGAGATCCAACCAAAAACTAATCCTCCTTCCATCTTCAAAACGAAAACGAACATGCTTGCAGAATTCATCCCATCTCCTCCGAATAAAATGCCAAACTTCCACCCCCCTTGGACCACGCATCTCCAGGGAGCACCACCCACAACGACTTTCCCCAAATTTGCAAGCAATAACTTTCCTCCATAACCAATGTCTCTCGATCCCAAACCTCCAGAGCCATTTACCAAGAAGAACCTTATTAAGAGGTAACAACCTCCGAAACCCTAAGCCTTCAAACCGAATTGGACGGCACACTTGATCCCATCGAACCAAGTGAAATTTGAATTCTTCACCTTTCCCCCCCCCCCCCCAAAGGAAGTTGCACTGCAATCTTTCAATTCTCTCAGCCACTGAAGAAGGAATCTAAAACAGAGACAAGAAGTATGTAGGCAGGCTAGAAAGGGTGCTCTTAATCAGGGTAACCCGCCCCCCCTTGGACAGGTATTGCTTTTTCCAACCCGCCAACCTCCTCTCAACTCTGTCCACAACCGGATCCTAGCTCCCCACACATCTCGACGGAGCACCCAAAGGCAACAATGTTGAGTTGCAAGTGTAAATATTCGGAGTTGTTTAATTACATAATTACTTAAAAACTTGTTTCATAAAACAATTTTATATTCAAGCAATTAGATATTTATTCTTATATTTTAGTTCAAAGGTTCGAACCCTTGCATGATCATCGTTGACTCTCTTTGTTGTCCCACCGTCCAAGCTTCGCTACCTGTGAATGGTTTCTCTGCCTCTCTCCTCTTTCACCTCTTTTCCCTTATATTCTTCGTCGTCCTCTTTTCTTTCTTCTTATTGTTCGTCACAAACCCTAAATACTTATTTTTTTCCTTTCACAATAAATTTCTTTTTGTCTCTTTTTCCTTTTTCCTCTATTCCCCATGAACATTTTTCTCCTCTATAGATTCTTACCTTTATTTTTAACTAAGGCCTAATTCTTTTTCTAACAAAACCCTAATCCTCTTTGTCTCTCTCTCTCTCTTTTTTTTTTTTTTTTATAAAAAAAAACCCTCTTTCTATCATTATTTCTTTCTTCCAGCAAAACACACACACACACACACATATATATTTTCATTATAAGATTGTAAAAAATAATACTACTCTTAATTTCTTAAAATACAACATTATATATATAGGACATATATTTCTTATTTGCTGTGTCCCCGCCTTGTCCGTGTCCTAAATTTTTAGGATTTGCCGTGTCGTGTCGTATCCGTTTCCGTGCTTCTTAAATAGTAACTAACACTTTTTTTTAAATAGATTTGAATTTTAAAAGAAAGGAAAAAACGTTCATTAATTTTTAAAATTAAGTAATTTCCATTGTAAATCACCTTTAATGACCATAAATAGGTAACCAATAATCATAAATAGAATTTATTGTTTCCCAAATTTTTTTTTTTTTTTGGGGGGGGGGATATATGATGAGGACCTCACCCAAAGTTCGCCGCCCTTCAAATACAGGCTTTAGTGTCGGAAACTTTTTATAGAGTAGTCATCAAATCTCCCTCCGCCTTTGTACAATTGGATTTACATTTTTTTTGGAAACTCAATATACATTTTATTTATTAAATACGAAGTTGGAAATTAAATATATAATTAATGTAACATATACAAGATATACAAATATATAACTCTCGCCTACATAACCTGGTCACCCTTGGCCCGCCTTCTGAGCCACCGCCAGTCCCTAATTTCATGTTGCTTTGTTTCCATGCTTCCATAGCAGAATTGCTGCAATTGGCGGAGGCGGAATTGACTGTTGCACTGTCACCCTAGATAGCGACGACGAACTGATTACCACCTTCCTCTCTGCCCTAATCTCTCTCTTGCCCCTCAACTCTTGTTCTTCTCTTTCATTCTATCCAATACTCTCTCTCACTCAATCTATAGCGTTCAATTGTTGAAGCAATTACCACCTTCGGCCACTGTCAACATGTAGTGTTGAACCACCTTCAACACTGTACAACCAGTGTAACTCTCTCGTGGACTCTCTCTCTCACGGCACTAAAGAGGGGGAAGAATGTGTTGGATTGGCCATGGGAGTAGGGATGGCAACGGGGGTGGTTTTGGACGGGTGTACCCTCCCCCGGCCCCGCAACCGTTTAGAAACCTCTGCCCCGTCCCCGCCAAAAACCGCATAAACGGGGGTCCTTTCCACCCCATCCACGCCACTGTTTAACTTTTTTACCCCCGCCCCGCCCCGTTTAGTTCCAGAATTTATCTTCCTTTTTTAATTTTTTTTCCTTAAATACAATTATATATCTATTGAAAAAATTCATATAAAATGGGCAATCAATAATTTAACATAAAATTTAAGGGTATAAGCATTCTTAGTTCGTAGGGCTTTGCCGCTCTCTAGAATGAGTGAGAAAGTAAGTGAATGTGACCTAGGGTTTCTAGAGCTAAATATATATACCTAAACAGGGCGGGGCGGGGTGACCTACCTCCCTTCCCCCCCCCCCTCCTCGGCGTGCGCGCGGGGCAAATTGCCATCCCTATATGGGAGTGTTGGAGCAAAGGGGGATTTGGCGTGGTGATGGTAGAAATTTGAGAAGAGTGGAAGAGGTGGTGGTGGTGTCAGGATGGCCGGCAGTGAATTGAAAAAAGAATGCGTGACAATGTATAAATGTTACTTTAGGGATAATTTTTAATTTACCTGATGTGCATTTTGACTTTTCTACTTCACTATTGTTATAATAGTGGAGGGAAGACGGTAAAAAACCACACGAAAGGCACGATGTGTTTTTGCTTAGGCTTTCAATGAAGAGGAAATTGTATTGCAAGTCCTGAATTCCAAGATGAATCTTCATGAAATACAGAGGGAGAATATGGGTGCGATATCCTTCTTGGAGGTTGCTAGGCTCCCTCGTATCCATCAG